CCCATTGGGATCTTTCATTGTACTAACTCAAAGCTACCAAGTTGAGCTCCTCCCCTGGGATAAGACTCTTTGAAGGAAAGAACAGGTTCAGTCTCTCAGGAGAGGAAAATGAGGATTCAACCCTCATTCAGAGCCAGAGAGGGTGGGGGGCTTGCTTTTCTGTACCCCTTGATGCTGTTCTGTTTTCGTCTTCTTGAGGCAAACACACTCCTGGGATCAGGGGGGAACATTCCTGATATACCTCAGTGTCCATGGTTCCAAACCTGCTGGTGTCACCTGAGGCAGGCCCAGAGAGAGGTGGCACAGTCACTGCTTCCAGCCCAGCGCAGCTCGCAGTCACCAACTTCTCTGGCGACACTTGCTCACTCAGAACTCTAAACTGTGGGTCAGGAGTGTGACCCTGCTTGCTGTTGTATCCTGAGCAGAACTATCACCACCATCATCTTGCAGACAGACATCATGTTAAGTGCCCCGCTTATAAACACCTCCTGCCTCTCTTAAACATTGTAATTAACTGCATTTCATGCTTCTTTCAGTCACAGTATGGAAGACCACTGAGCACCACACAGCAAGACTTGGTTCAGTCTAAGAACCATGTAAAGTTTCACAGATGGGGGAATCTACCCCAGTGGTCTCGTCTTACACTTTGAAAACCAAGGTAGGAGGCAGATGAGAAGGAAGGTAGGGCGGTTTCCAGACGAACGAGAGTAGTCTCTAAGATGGTAACTTGCATGAACAAGTCCTACCTGACCTGGGCGACGTATGCTGGCCCCTGCGCTAGGCTTTTCATAGGTTTTACATTACTGAATCTAAATGAACTTACTAAGGAGGACTTCAGAGAAAGGAAATAACCCGCACCAGGGTTGCACAGCAAATCAGCAGCGGGGTCGTAATCAAGCCTGCGCCAAAGTGTAGAGGACGCCCCTGTGAACTCAGGCCCAGCAGATGGGTGGCCCAGGATGGGATGGGGACCGACAGGAAAGCCGCAGCTGGGACCCACGGCGAGACCTGAACGTGCTGGGGGTCGGGCTCGCGCGTGCACACTTACCGGGGTGCAGGTGAGCGCGCAATGCGCGTGCACGGACCAATGCCCCGAGAGGACAGTGAGCGCGTGCGCGAGGCAGATGGTGGCAAGCACAAGCAGCGCGGCCTCGGGGATCTGCACCCAACTGCTGCCCCAGCCCCAGCAGCCAGTGGCTGCGGCGCCCAGCCAGGCCGGGTAGAGCAACCCGGCAAATGGCAGCACGGTGAGGCGCCGCAGCAGCGCCAACCGCCGGTATGGCCATACGGCAGCGACCAGCTCGTCACCGCTCGCTATGAGCGCCGGCCCGGCGGCAAGGAGCGCGCGCGGCTGCGGCCCGGGATTGGGCTGCCCGCCAGGCCGGGCCCCACAAGGCCGGGCCCTGCAGGGCACCGCGTTGCCAACCGCCGCCGCTGCCGCCATCTTTCCCAGCGCCGCGCTCACTTCCGGGCAGAGGCACGCCTCACTTCCGAAGCTTTACTTCCGGTAAGCCCAGGGCGCCGCCATGGCAACCTGGACTAGGAAGAGGCAGGACAGCAGAGCAGGCTGGGCCTGGCAGGGACAACCGCGGGTGCCGCCATGACAGGCCGTGGCCGGAAAAAGAGGCAGGGCGCCGCCATGACAAAGAGGGACTGAAAGACCTAACAGTGCCTGCCTCTACTGCCACGCCAGACTGAGACCGGAAAAGACGAAGCCGGCAGAGCGGGCTGGGCGCCACCCTGACAACCTGAATCGATAGAAGCGAGCCCTCCTCCTTGAATACACCGGCCTCACCTGTCACGAGAGGCGGAGCCTGGACTCTGCAGAGGCGGGGTCAGGGGAGAGCCGGCGTTCAGGAGGCGGGGCCTGCTGCGGGGGCGGGGCTTGTGAGGGGCGGGGACTGGGACCGGCCAGGCCACACCGGACAAGAGACTTTTTTTTTTTTTTTTTTCTGAGACAGTGAGACAGAGTCTTGCTCTGTCACTAGGCGCTAGGCTGGAATGCAATGGCGCGATCTTGGCTCACCGCAACCTCTTCCTCCCGGGTTCAAGCAATTCTCCTGCCTCAGCCCTCCGTGTAGCTGGGACTATAGGCGCGCGCCACCACGCCCAGCTAATTTTTGTATTTTTTAGTAGAGACGGAGTTTCACCATGTTGGCCAGGGTGGTCTCAACTTCTTAACCTCGTGATCCGCCCGCCTCGGCCTCCCAAAGTGCTGGGATTACAGGTGTGAGCCACCGCGCCCAGCCAAGAGCCTTAATGTAATAGATAAGAATTACAAAAACTGGCCGGGCGCGGTGGCTCAAGCCTGTAATCCCAGCACTGTGGGAGGCCGAGGCGGGTGGATCACGAGGTCAAGAGATCGAGACCATCCTGGCCAACATGGTGAAACCCCGTCTCTACTAAAAATACAAAACATTAGCTGGGCGTGGTGGTGCGTGCCTGTAATCCCAGCTACTCAGGAGGCTGAGGCAGGAGAATTGCCTGAACCCAGGAGGCGGAGGTTGCGGTGAGCCGAGATCGCGCCATTGCACTCCAGCCAGGGTAACAAGAGCGAAACTCCGTAAAAAAAAAAAAAAAAAAAAAAAAAAAAAAAAAAAAAAAAAAAAAAAAAAAAAAAGAATTACAAAAACTTACCACTTAAATATAAAAACTGAAAAATTGCTGTTTACTTGAAATTATATAGTTCTATATTATTAACTGTACTGCTGCATAAATGCTATTTGAACAAAACCACAATAGGATTAAGAGTACCAATTAGTAAGATTAAACAATTAATATGTGTGAGAAACAGTAACAATATTTTATAATGTTTCTATTTGTCCTCTGATAAAGTTAATTTATTTAAACTTAAAAAAGAATCTTGGCCGGGCGCTGTGGCTCACGCCTGTAATCCTCAGCCACTTTGGGAGGCCGAGGTGGGTGGATCACCTGAGGTCAGGAATTCAAGACCAGCCTGGCCATCATGGTGAAACCCCACCTTAAAAAAAAAAAAAAAAAAATCTTTATTGTGGCCGGGCGCGGTGGCTCATGCCTGTAATCCCAGCAGTTTAGGAGGCCGAGGCAAAACTCTACCTCAAAAAAAAACAATCTTTATTGGATATTTAAATTTTGTAGATTATATTGTTGCACATTTTAATTTTTTTTAGATGGAGTATCATTCTGTCACCCAGGCTGGAGTGCAATGGCGCAATCTCGGCTTACTGCAACCTCCGCCTTCCGGGTTCAACTGATGCTCCCACTTCAGCCTCCGGAGTAACTGGGATTACAGGCACCCTCCACCATGCCCGGCTAATTTTTTATATTTTTAGTAGAGGTGGGGTTACACCATGCTGGCCAGGCTGGTCTCCAACTCCTGACCTCGTGAGCCGCCTGCCTCCGCCTCCCAAAGTGCTAGGATTATAGATTTGACCCGCGGCGCCCTGCCCATATTCTTTTGTTTTGAAGGAGCCTCACTCTCCCCCAGGCTGGAGTGCAATGGCATGATCTGGGCTCTCTTGCAAGCTTTTCCTTACAAGTTCAAGCAATTGTCCTGCCTCAGTCTCCCAAGTAGCTGGGATTACAGGCATGAGCCACCATGCTGGCTAAGTTTTGTATTTTTAGGAGAGATGGGTTTTCACCATGTTGGCCAGTCTGGTCTGAACTCCTGGCCTCAAGAGATCTGCCTTCCTTGGCTTCCCAAAGTGCTGGGATTACAGGCGTGAGCTGCCGTGCCCAGCCACTGCATATATATTTTTTTATTTTTTATTTATTTATTTTTTTGAGATGAAGTCTCGCTCTGTCGCCCAGGCTGAAGTGCAATGGCCTGATCTCGGCTCACTGCAACTTCTGCCTCCTGGGTTCAAGCAATTCTTCTGCCTCAGCTTCCTGAGTAGCTAGGATTACAGGCATGCACCACCACACCTGGCTAATTTTTGTATTTTCAGTAGAGACGGAGTTTCACCAGGTTGGCCAGGTTGGTCTCGAACTCCTAACCTCATGATCTGCCTGCCTGGGCCTCCCAATGTGCTGGGATTACAGGTGTGAGCCACCAGGCCCAGCTGTATATTCTTAAGATACATGAATATAAGACTTTGTAAAAGGAGAAAGGAAATGTAATAGGACTTAATAATCAGATCATAATATTTAATAAGATAATCTTCAGTAAAAATAGGAATGACATGTTTCCTTCTGTCCCATTATATAGTGCGGTATACTTACTTTTTCAGTTTTTTCTCCAATATTCTTTCCCATCCGAGGTCCAAGAATCTGCTCATGGCGTCTGGGACTGGACCCCTTTCTGGTAACAATACCTTTATAGAATGTTTACTCCAGTTTTTCCCTGCATTTAATAATTTTGTTCACTTTCGCATGCTTTTATTTTCTTGACTGAAAACGAGTAGCCTGAGAAATAAGGAGTAGGAAGACTTGGCCATGGGACCAACAGCCTCATCCCAAATTCCTGCTCTGTGGAGGACATCAGGCCCTCCTGTCTGTTCCAGTGTGACTTGGGAGTCTCCCCAGCTCCAACGCAAGGGAATGGCTTTATTGAACACGGAGTCTGGAATTTCTTTTCTTTTTTTTTTTAAAGATGGGGTTTTGCCATGTTGCCCAAGCTGCTCTCGAACTCCTGAGCTCAGGCAATCCACCCACCTCGGCCTCCCAAAGGGCGTGAGCCACTGCGCCCGGCCCGGAGTCTGGAATTTCATGCACACTCGTGTGACCGGTGTTCCGGAAAAAGAGCAGGGAGGACCGACGGAGTACAGGAAGCCGACAGTGCCGACTCTGGAAAGCCGAGAGCAAGTTCTGCTTCCACGCAAGTCCAGGTCTAATGTCCCAGAGAAAGCCCCGTTGGGAGAGGCTGCGGGTAGCACCTGTCACTCAAACCCCACACAGCCAGGATTTGGATCACTTCTCCTGTCGCTCAAGCCCCAGGGAGGGAGGGGCCCTGGGGCATCATCCAATCAGAGGCGGCGTGGTGCAAACTATCCAATCAGGTGCGCCGAGGGGGGGGCAATTCCAAATCCCTAAGCGGTCTCTTTCCGTCGGGGCCCAGCTTGGGTACGGGTTTTAGTTGGTCCGGGAGGTCCCAGATTCTCGGATACTGCAGCTTCTGTCGCGTGGAACCGACTCTGGCTGCTGGAGCCCCAGGGAGGACCCAGGACATCCGGAAACCAGAAATGGTGAGCGTGCAGAGCCTGGGCGTCCGGAGACCTGAGGACGGGCTGGTCGGAACCGGCTGTGATGGGACTCGAATCCTCCTGTCGCGGCTCGGCCCTTGGTCCCCTCGTCCTCAGGATGGGGCTGGACCGGCAGCCGGGACCCCGAGCGTCCTGTCACGTCCCTGCCCGCGACTGCAGCCCCGGCTCCGGCGCCCTCTCAGGGCAACTGCGCGTCCGCAGCCCCGCGTCTCCCCAGTTTGTGCCGGGGGCACGGGAGAGTCATGGCGGCATCCCGCCTCTGGTATGGGTTTCTGGCGGGAGGAGCCTTGGCCCAGTTCCTCCTTTTTCCATTAGGCGGCCGCCGTTTCCCTCTCAGTCTTCCTAAGGTGTGGGAAGACCCGGCTGGGTCTCAAACCCGCGACCCCATCCCCCAGCCTTGCTTCTCCTAGGGCTGCAGTTGTTGTAGTGGAGCGAGCATAGAAAGTTAACAAGACAAAAAGTATGCCAATTTACAGGGTGTTTAATGCCGGCGGCCACGGAGGACTCGCGTCTCTCTAACCCCTGGCCCCGAAAGGAAGACCTTTTATACCCGTAAAAATCACCTTGGGAGTGAAGGTGAGGGGCGGGGGTGTGGGTGAGGGGCTTCAGACATTCTGAGGGCTAGTGGATTCTGTATATCACCTTCTGGGCGGAGATGAGGGTGAGGGGACATTCCGGACATTCGAGGGCCAGGGGACTTAATTGACATTCTGATTGTTACTTAAGTGGTTCACAAAAGTCGAGATTAGCATTTGTTTACACATTGTCTGGGTGGGGTGGCGATTACAATCCTTAATTTCTTATTCACATTTGGGTTATAGAGAGCAGTTTCAACAGAAAGCTGAGGTATGGTTGAGGTATGCAGGTTTATGGGGCTTTTTACCAGGTCACACAGTAAATCCCTAAATTTCCAGTTCTCTCCCCGCATTCGCCAACCCCAGCCTCCCCTCTTTATTTCACATGATTATTATTATTATTATTGAGGCAGAGTATCCCTCTGTCCCCCAGGCTGGAGTGCAGTGGCGTGATCTCTCACTGCAACCTCAGCCTCCCGGGTTCTAGTGATTGTCCTGTCTCAGCCCCCCAAGTAGCTGGGATTACAGGCGTGCGTCACCACGCCTGGCTAATTTTTGTATTTTTAGTAGAGCCGGGGTTTTACCATGCTGGCCAGGCTGGCCTCGATCTCCTGACCTCAGGTGATCCTCCCGCCTCAGCTTCTCAAAGTGCTGGGATTACAGGTGGGAGCCACCGCGCCTGGTCATTTTACATTAACTGTTAAAACAGACACAGTGTTTTAATTGTTACCTTTTCCACTGAGCCATTTCGTGAAAGATTTGTTTTCTGTTTGTGAACATTTCACATGTGAAGCTTCCTAGGATGTTGGGTTGTCAGCCCACCCTCCTATTTTTCTGTTCCTGGGTTTGAAAACTGCCCAGGGATTTCTCCCAGCTGCCCTTGGAAGAATGGGTGAAAAGTCTTTCCTGGCCTGGTTAATCTTTCCTGGTCATTTGATGAGCTTCCCAGGGAAGGGTTCTTGTCTGAAAGAAAGAAGTCGTTTTCCATGTTCCTTAGGAAATTCCACAGGGAATCCCTGCAGGCGATGGGGTGGGGAAAAAACAATGGAAAGAAACTTTTGAAGCAGCTTCATTTTCACTCAGGCTAGAGTGCAGTGACCACTGATGACTCACTGCAGTCTCAAGCCTTGGGCCCAAGTGATCCTCCCGCCTCAGCCTCCCAAGAAGCAGGGACCACAGGCACATGCTACAACACCCTGTTCATATATATATATATATATACGTATTTGAGATGGAATCGTGCTCTGTCGCCCAGGCTAGAGTGCTGCAATCTCGGCTCACTGCAGCCTTTGCCTCCTGGGTTCAAGCGATTCTCCTGTCTTAGCCTCCTGGATAGCTTTGACTACAGGTGTGTGCCACCACACCCGGCTAATTTTTTGTATTTTTAGTAGAGATGGGGTTTCACTGTGTTGCCCAGGCTGGTCTCGAACTTGTGACCTTGTGATCCACCCACCTTGGCCTCCCAAAGTGCTGGGATTCCAGGGGTGAGCCACTGCGCCCAGCTGAGGTCAATTCTCTTTTAGCAAAGAGCAGCCTGAGAGATCAGTCTGCAAACACAGGTAAGGAAGGCAAGCTCTAACACAGAAAGAAGCCTTGTAACATGCAGAATGACAGTGGGCCTCAGAAAGCACAGTCTCCTCCGTTCTTGGAAATACTCAAAAGAGGCTTGTATAGGGAGAGAGCCTGCAGCAGCACCGATAAGAAGAGCTGCCCTAGCTGGGCGCGGTGGCTCATGCCTGTAATCCCAGCACTTTGCGAGGCTGAGGTGGGTACATCACCCGAGGTCAGGAGTTCGAGACCAACCCGTCCAACATGGCGAAAACCCCATCTCTACTAAAAATACAAAAATTAGCCGGGCATGGTGGTGGGTGCTTGTAATCCCAGCTACGTGGGAGGTTGAGGCAGAAGAATTGCTTGAACCCAGGAGGTAGAGGTTGCAGTGAGCCAAGATTGCGCCATTGCACTCCAGCCTGAGTGACAAGGGTGAAACTCGATCTCAAAAAAAAAAAAAATTCCCATTGTTTAATCATGAGTTCATTTATTTTTACTCTGCATGTTCATTTTTTAAAAATATTGTTTAAGGGGTACAAGGGTAAGTTTGTTACGTGGATATATTGTGCAGTCATGAAGTCTGGGCTTTTTTTTTTTTTTTTTTGAGTCGGAGTTTCGCTCTTGTTACCCAGGCTGGAGTGCAATGGCACGATCTCGGCTCACCACAACCTCCACTTCCTGGGTTCAGGCAATTCTTCTGCCTCAGCCTCCTGAGTAGCTGGGATTACAGGCACACGCCACCATGCCCAGCTGAATTTTTGTATTTTTAGTAGAGACGGGGTTTCACCATGTTGACCAGGATGGTCTGGATCTCTTGACTTCGTGATCCACCCGCCTCGGCCTCCCAAAGTGCTGGGATTACAGGCGTGAGCCACCGTGCCCGGCCCTAATTTTAGATATTTGACAAATCTGCATATCATTTCCATCTCCATATAAATTAGTACAAGGGAGCTGTCCTCATTTATGTCCCCACCAACAGTATATAAATGTTGCCTTTTCACCACATCCTTGCCAACTTCTCTTGTTTTCTGATTTTTAGAAATACTGGCCATTCTGACTAGTGTAAGATGGTATCTCCAAAGGTATGGGAAGTTGTGTCTGAAATTCACGACCACATCCCCCACAGCCTCACCCCTCCTACGGCTGAAGTAAATCCCTACATTTCCAGCTCCCTCCCTGCATTCCCCAACCCCAGATTCCTGCTCTACTACATCCACTTCACATTATCATTATTAATTTTATTACTATTATTATTTTTTTTTTTTAAAGACGGGGTTTCACCATATTGATCAGGCTGGTCTCGAACTCCTGACCTCAGGTGATCCACCCGCCTCAGCCTCCCAAAGTGCTGGGATTACAGGTGTGAGCCACCGTGCCCGGCTATTACTATCATGTTTGAGAGGGAGTCTTGCTCTGTCACCTTGACTGGAGTGCAGTGGCACAATATCGGCTCACTACAACCCCTACCTCCCAGGTTCAAGCAATTCTCTTGCCTCATCCTCCCGAGTAGGTAGGATTATAGGCACCCGCCACCATTCCTGGCTAATTTTTATATTTTTAGTAGAGATGGGGTTTCACTATGTTGGCCATACTGGTCTCAAACTCCTGACCTCAAATGATTCGTGTGCCTTGGCCTCCCAAAGTCCTGGGATTACAGGCATGAGCCAGTGCACCTGGCCAGACCCAGTGTTTTAATTGTCATCTTTTCCAAAGAGCCCTAGATGGAGTTTCTTAAAAGGTTCATTTTCCGTTGAACATTTCACGTGTAAAGCAGAGAATAACCCCCTGGCACTATGATGTTTTAAAAAAAAAAAAAAAATCACTGTGCCTGCCCTCCTTTTACCTTCCCTAGACGCAGACACCTTATTAGACTGTCTTTGGGTGGAGGCGTCTCTTGGAAACCACAGGATATTGGGTCGTCAGTCCACCCAACTATCTTTCTGGTCCTGGGTTTTAGGAATGTCCAGGGATTTCTTCTAGCTGCCCTAGGAAGAATGGGTGAAAAGTCTATCCTGGTTAATCTTTAGGGAGAGGTCTTTATCTTTTGTATAGAAATTCTTTCCTTAAGAAACTCCAGGAGTCCCCACTGGCCCTTGGGGGTGGGGTGGGGCCAGAAATGGTAGTGAGAAGCTTCTGCCTTTTAGTTTCAACATGTTGGCCAGGCTTGTCTTGAATTCCTGACCTCAGGTGATCTACTCACCTCCCAAAGTGCCAGGATTACAGGCGTGAGTCACCACTTCCGACTTTTTTGCTTTAAAGAGACGGTGTCCTACTATGTTGCCCAGGCTGGTCTGACACTCCTGGGCTCCAGTGATCCTCCTGCTTTGGCCTCCCAAAGTGCTGGAATTATGGGTGTGAGCCACTGTGACTGGCTAGCTTATTTTTTTTTTTTTTGAGACGGAGTTTCACTTTTGTTACCCAGGCTGGAGTGCAATGGCGCGATCTCGGCTCACCGCAACCTCCGCCTCCCGGGTTCAGGCAATTCTCCTGCCTCAGCCTCCTGAGTAGCTG